GAGAAAAATAATTAATTTGCATATCCCATGTCTTCGAGGCTAAATTACAGAGGGAAATGGCTCTTCAGAAGAATTGTTTTCTTTTGGCATATTTTGAGAATCTCAAAAAACATGCATGAAATATGCAGATTGCACTTCCAAGAGGACTGTTTTGAAGACTGATTTATGCCATGGTCTTTTAAATCACATGCTATGCATCTTAGAGCTGGATAATGAATCAGGATGAAAGAAGAATTGATGCCTTTGAGTTGTGGTATGGAGAAGAGTACTGAATATCTCTTTGACTGCATATATATGTCTTGAATAATGTACAGCCAGAGTCCTCCTTGGACACAAGGATGGAAAAGCTTTGGCTTTCCTACTTTGGATATGCGGCTAGGAGAGGCTACTCCTTGGAAAGGGACATTACACCTAGAAAGATGTAGGGTCAACAAAAGACAGAAAGACCTCCCAATGAGATGAACTGATATGATGATTGTAGCAATGGACTGAAGTGCATCAGAGATGGTGAGCATGGAGGACAGGAATCATACCCATTCAGAAGGGTCACTATGAGTCATACTCAACTTGATGGCACCTAACAACAAAAAGATTCATTTGTGTATTTCAAGTTATGAGTATTTTTTATCGAGACTTCAATGAAAGTTTATAAAGAACTTGGATTTCCATTCATTCATTCATTGTTGCACATTTTCCTCTCTGCCCCCCACCCCCCAAGTTCACTTTGTCCTTTGGAAAAAAAGTCTTTCATTGTTATACAGTCCCCCCACACACCCCCCCCCCAAACACACCGGTCCACTTTACTATGCAGCTCTTATTCTGGATTCCTGTCATGCCAATAATACCTAATCATATGTTCCTTTTATACAGTTCTCACCCTCAACTGTTTCAATGCTGTGTACATTATTTATCACCTCTTAGTTTCCCCCCAACCCCGATGTCAGTCCTGTTTTATAACAGTGGTATTTTGCAGTATTTGTCCTTTTGTGCTGAGATATTTCACTCAGCATAATGTTCTCCAGGGTCACCCATTTTGTATAATACTTCATGATTTCTTTGTTTTTCAATGCTACATAGTATTTAATTGTGTGACTATACCACAGTTTTCTATCCATTTGTTTGTTGGGCTCTTGGGTTGTTTCCAACTCTTCACTATTATGAACAAAGCAACAATAAACATGGGTGTGCATCTATCTGCTTGTGTGTCAGTTCTGGTTCCTTTAGGGTTCCCAGTAGTGGAACTGCTGGGTCAAATGGTATTTCTATTGCAACTTTTTGAGAAAGCGCCATACAGCTTTCCACAGTGGTTGCACCATTTTACACTCCCAACAACAGTGAACAAGGGTTCCAGTTTCTTCACAACCTCACCAGCATTTGTTATTTTCTGCTCTGTTAAATTTTGCTATGTTACTGGGGTGAGATGATATCTCATAGTTGTTTAGATTTGTATCTCTCTTAAAGCTGGGGATTTTGAACATTTATTCATCTGTTTGTCCACCATCTGAATGTCTTCTTTGGTGAAGTATCTGTTCATATCCTGCACCCATTTTGCAATTGAGTAGTTTATCTTTTTGTGGTGCTTGAGTATTCTATAAATTCTAGATATAAGTCCCTTATCAGACATATCATTACCAAATATTTTTTTTCTCAGTCTGTGGTTTCCATTTTTACCCTTTTGGAGAAATTTTTGGAAAAGCAATCTCCAATTACCCCGAATAAGTAAAACACTCCTTAAAAAGAGAAGGTAGGAGGCATCTCATTCCCTGATTTCAAATCCTACTACATTGTCGTGGTGGTCCATATAGTGTGGTACTGATACAATGGCAGACACATAAATCAATGGAATAGAATTGAGAATGCAGAAATCAGCCCAGCTGATTTTTGACAAGGAGATGAAATCAGTTAAGTGGGGAAACAACAGCCTTTCTAACAAATGGCGCTAGCAAAATTGGAAAACCATCTGCAGAAAACTCTAACAAGACCCACACTTCACCCAATACACAAAACCCAACTCTAAGTGGGTCATGGACCTAGGACTAAAACCAAGGACTATAAACTTCATTAGAGAAAAGCTTGGAAGAAATCTAGAAGCCCTAACCCACAACATGAACAGTTTTCCAAGCATCCTAAAAAAAAAAAAAAAAAAGATGAATAGTCATGAGTACTTCTTAAAGAAATTGTTCTTTTTACGTCAACTCTGCTAGTCTATCTTCCATACACCTGGGTCCTCTGTATAGAGTTCATTGATTGTTTAGAACTGGATAAGGAGATGTACGGTCAACCCAAAACCAGTTCAAATCCACTACCTGTTCTACAGGAAAAAAAACTGAACAATCTCCTCCCACACTATTTACAGCCTCTGATTTCATGGCAAAATAATTCACCAGTCATTACCTCTTAATCTGTCCCTTAGTCTCAGAAATGTAGCCAGTTTGCTTCTTAGAAGCAAGATGATGTGACTCCATCTCATGTTATTATCAATAGGGCTTGTTTCCTGAAGGACATCATGCTTGGAAAAGTGTTAGAGTCATTGAAGAGGAAGGTGGCCCTCATAAAATGGATCGCCACAGTGATTGCAGCAATGAGTAAATCATAGTAGAAATTGTGAGGACAGCCACGATTGGGAAGGTTTTGATCTCTCAGACTTGACTCAATGGTATAACAACTCCTAGAAGACAAGCATACAACCAGAAGTGCCCTGCTCCTATTGGGGTAGAATAAATTTTGACTTATGGAAAACCAGTAGAACTAACCTGCAGGCCTTGCTTCCAAAGCTGTAAACACCGCAGGAGCAGAAATCTTTCTCCTGTGGAGCAGATGGTGGTTCAACGCATTATCTTCCAGTTCACAGCTGAGCACTTAACCATGGAACCACCAGGGCTTGTTGAATGGTTGCCAAGATGAACAAATATTTCACAGATGTCACTGATTGGCTGCCTTCCTGCTTTTCCCTGGATTTTTTTATTCACCTGTAAAATATTTTGAAATGCATTAGCCAGAGCCAAACAGACCCAAATTGTAACTACTCAAACGTGTGAGACTACTGAAATGTTTCATGCTGCCACAGATTTCTAGTAATGGACAGAGCATCTTTTGTGTGTGCCTTATCCTCTAAAACCACAACAGAGAGGATTTTTTTGAAGTAAAAAATAAATAAATGGAACTCTGCAAAGGGTAATAAATATTTCTTTAAATTTTATATACATATATAAACATGTCATGGACACAAATACAAAAATATATAATAAAGGGAAGTACACAGAAGAGAGTGTGAAAATTCTAAACAAAACAGTAATTCCCTGTGCTAACTGGCAAAAGGTTCTTAAATTCTACTCTTCTTCGGCCCTTGACCAAAAATAACTCCTAAGACAGGAAGCTAAAGATTTTACTTCTTTTTCTTTATTTTCTGAGGTTGTAATTTTCTTTCTATGGGCCAGAACTTTTACTCAGAAAAATCGACTAAAAATATTATAACGCAGCCCTCACTAACACCTCTATCTGCTCATCTGTTCTTTTTCTCAGATCCCCCACTGTTTCCTCAGACACTCCTTCTTCAATGCTGTGACCTAGTTCTAAGGCCTTTCCTCATTCTGACCTCCCTTGTCAAACATCCCTTCCAGAATGTAGTGTCTATTATGGAACAGTGCACTGTAAGTGAGAGCCCACCAATCTAGAGGACAGTGGATTGATGTTCCCCTGCCCCTCACCCCTTATTCTTGACTCTATGGATTTATCAATACAGACAAGAATGGCACCGATAATTGCTGATGGACTTTAGTCATAGGGGTTTTTCTCAGAGACTACTGTTAAGCCCGGCCTTTCCCATCTACAATGCATGTTGTTGTTGTTGTGTTCTGGCAAGTCAGAAACTAACAGCAGGTTTTTAGAGTCTACAAATCGCTCTGGAGGAAATAGGCCATCCTTCTTTGGGGATTTTAGCACACGACACTACCCTTCTTTAGACTACCAGAGCTCCCCTGAAACTCATGTAGTTTTTTTAAAAAAATCTGAATATACGACTGTTGTTATTGTGCACCATCAAGTCAGAACGAACTCATAGCTGACCTGGCACCGAGTTTTCAGAGGCAGTAAATCATACAGGAAAAGATTTCCCATCTTTCAACCATGGGGCAGCTGGTGGATTTGAACTGGTGTGCTTTTGGGTTGACACTGAAGCTCTTTACCACTAAGCTACCATAACTCCCTGAATATATATGTGTCCTTTACTTTTCTTTTTCTTTTTTTTTCTTTTCTTTTTCTTGTGTGGTTCCCCACCCCCGTTTGTTTTTTGGCTGAGCACAGTGTACTTTATTGATGATACATGACAAGATGGGCTCTCTAAGCCCCTTCCCTTTCTTAGGGGGCCTGGATGGAAACTGAGTTAAGGATGTGAGATTCTCAGTGTATGGGAGGATTGAGTTGGGGCAAGGACTCTCCAGCAGTTTCTCCCGCGCTCGCGCTCTCTCTCGCTCTCTTGCTCTCTTTCCCTCCCTTCCTCCCTCCACTCGCCCCCCCCAAGTGTTATTGCTGAGGCTGGGCTATTACTTTTTTGAGACCATGTGAACCATGAGGTTGACCACTCGGTTGCTGTAGTCAAATTGTCATACCAGGAAGTGAGTTTGCAAAGTGATCATTCAGGGCATCAAATCATCAAAGATGGAAGAGAGGGTGTCACTGTTAAAGTCACAGGAGACAACCTGGTCTTCAGCGTATCCCAGGATGCCCTTGAAGAGCCCTTATTATGCCTGCTTTACTACTTTCTTGATGCCATCATATTTGACAGCTTTCTCCAAAAGACAGGTCAGTTCCATGACTGACACCCTGGGGCTGAGGGCAATGAAAGTCATGCCAGCGAATTTCTCATTGAGCTCAGGGATGACCTTGCTCAAAGCCTTGACAGTGCCAGTAGATGCAGGGATGATGTTCTAGACAGCTCTGTGGCCATCACGCCACAGCTTTCCAGAGGGGCTATCCACAGTCTTCTGGATGGTAGTGATGACATGGACTGTGATCATGAGTCCCTTTATGATGCCAAAGTCATGGATGACCTTGGCCAAGGTGGGGAAAGCAGTTCATGGTGCAGGAGCCATTGATAACAATCTTGAGAGAGTTGTCATACTTCTTGTGGTTCACACCCATCACAAACATGGGGCCATCAGCAGAAGAAGCAGAGATGACTACCCCTTTGGCCCCACCATTCACGTGAGCACCTACCTTTTCCAAGGTTGTGAAGACACCAGTGGACTCCACAACATACTCAACATCAGCATCATCCCACTTGATGCTGGGGAGATCTCACTTCTGAAAGATAGTGATGGCTTTCCCATTGATGACCAGTTTCCCATTCTCAGCCTTGACAGTGACTTTGAATTTGCCATGGGTGGAATCATATTGGAACATATAGACCATGTAGTTGAGGACAATGAAGGGATCACTGATAGCAAAAACAACCACTTTGCCAGACTTAAAAGCAGCTCAGGTGACCAGGTGTCCAATGCAGCCAAATCCGTTTACTCTGTCATTCACCATTGTGTCTCAGGGATGTAGCTGAGGCTGCACCAGAAGAGAGGGCTATCTGTTGATTGACAAGGAGCAGGGAGCTTTTTCGTTGTCGTTGTTGTTATAATTTTTGGTCTTTAAGTTTTACTCCATCACTCTAGACCCAGAAATTATATGCAAATACTGTGTATATGAAAGTCTGAATTTTCATCAACCAGTCTGAAGTTCCTGAACACTTTATAAAAACAGAGCAAGAAAACACTGCATGGTTCAAAATTGGGAAGGGTGTGCACCAAGGAAGTGTCCTATCTCCATATCTTTTCAATCTATATGTGGAACAGATTATCTGGGAGGCTGGGCTCTATGAGGAGAAGTGTGGCCTTAGGGTTGGAGGAAGAATCAACAACCTGTGTTATGCAGATGACACAACCCTGCTTGCTGAAACTGAGGAGGATCTGAAGCACTTGCTGCGGAGGGTCAAGGACTGCAGCCTTCAATATTTCCTGAAGCTCAACATCAAGAAAACAAAGATTCTCACCACTGGGCAGATTGACAGCATCATGATGGATGGTGAAGAGATTGAGATTGTCAACAGCTTCCGTTTGCTCAGCTTTACAGTCAACACTCTTGGTATCAGCATCCAGGAAATTAAAAGATGAATTGCATTGAGAAAGTCTGCTGTCAGAGACATCTCCAAAGTACCAAAGAGCAACGATGTCAGTCTGGAGACTAAGGTGCACCTGATCCATGCCATGGTCTTTGCAATTACTTGCTTTGCATCGGAGAGCTGGACAATGACTAGGCATGATAGAAGGAGAATTGATGCCTTTGAGCTGTGGTGCTGGAGAAAAGTATTGAGTGCACCATGGACTGCTAAGAAAATGAACAGATTCATCCTGGATAGGGTTAAACCGGGCTGCTCCTTGGAGGCAAGGATTCTGAGGCTTGGTCTGAAATACTTTGGACATGTTGTAAGGAGGGACCGGTCCTTGGAGAGGAACGTCAAGGATGGGATGGAGGAGGTACAGCACAGGAGAGGAAGACCCTCCATAAAGTGGATTGATTCACTCACTGAGGGAATGGGGATAGGCATGTTGAAGACAATAAGATTGGCACAGGGTAGATCAGGGTTTAGAGCTGTTGCACATAGGGTCGCTATGAGTCACAGTTGACTCGATGGCACAGAAGAACAACAATATTATTTAATATGTAATAGTTTAAGTTGTGGTGTTGGAGAAGAGTGACTGAATATCCCATGGACTGCCAAAAGAGCAAACAGATATACTCTGGAGAAGGTGCCGCCAGAGTTTTCCTTGGCGGCAAGGATGGCGAAGTTTTGACTCACATACTTGAGCATATTGTTAGAGGGGGATATTCCTTGGAAAACACATAATTCTAGGAAAATTAGAAGGTCAGCAAATGAGAGGAAAACTCTCAGCGAGATGGATTGCAACAGTGACTGCAACGATAGGCTTTAATATCTCAGAGATGATGAGGATAATGTAGGATAGGACAGTGTTGAGAATTGTTGTTCATAAAGTCACTATGAATCAGACTCGACTCTATGGCACCTAACAAAAAAAAAAACAAGGTGAAGGAATATAAGAATAATGTTGTCAGAGTAAGGGGAGCTCTGGTGGCCTAGTGGCAAGGAGCTGCAACTACAATCCCAGAGGTGCACGGTTCGAATCCACCAGATGCTCTGCCGGGGAAGGAGGGGCAATCTCCTCCTGTACCAGTCAGATCTGATTTGACGGTACACGCACACAAAAATAATAAAATTTTTTAAAAAAAAGAATAATGTTGTCAGAGTGAACCAACCAGGTCAATTGAAGAATCTATAAGGAAACAGCAAGTTTTGACAGGTGAGGTCTACGTAAATGAAACAAAAATGAACATTTGTTCGAATTCTCAAAAGTATTAGTGGTAGAAACTTTCTGAAAAACAGTAAAGCAAAAACAGCAAAATTGCACATTCTCTTCACCTCATTCTCTTCACCATATTATCACTTCCTAGTTGCTTACAACCTTTCTAATACTCATGGAAACTCTGGTGAATATGTTTTCTTGAAAGTCACAAAAGACCTGAAAGTCAAAGAAAAGTCGACACAGAGAAAGAACAACCCAATATGGTTACAAAGCAGGAAAGGAAGGAAGAGGGAAGTTAAAATTAAAAAGAGATAATAACCATTTACTAAAATGTGTGATCATTGTTCAGTGATCCAAATCTATTCTTAAGATGATTATAAATTCAGGTGGGATAGACTCAAGATCATATTTTGTTTTTCATGGGCTTGTTTGAATTTTCTTCTGCCTCAGTTTGGACTTGCACATGAGTAATTGATGGTGTATTCCACCACAGAAAGCACCTGGCCTCGTCTTGACTGCTGATATTGAGCTTCTCCAACAATTTCTTCCATAGATGTATTCAGTCTGATTCTTCTGCAGTCCATCTGGTGAGGATCATGTTTTAAAAAAGATATTTATGGGGAATAAATCATTGAAAGTACAAAATTCAATCATTCTATTTCTAGGCTCATTTTGGTCACCAAATCCCTTACTAACTCATCTGTCTTCTTCATTGTCTCTGGTTTTTGCTTTCTTGTCACCAACTCTCATTAACACATCTTGATTGCATGTTCAATCAATTTCAGACTACAAAATTTGATAAAAATCTGCAATTTCCTTCTCTTTGGCTTTAGCTGCTGAAGCATATACTTGATACTTGAATAATATTCGTATTAACAGGTCTCCCTTGTATGCATATGGATAATATATCCTATCAGTCAAAACACTGTAGTTCAGGATGGAACTTGAAATTATCTCTTTAACTATAATACAACATCATTTTTACTGTTTATCATTTCCATCATATTATACCACGTGATTGTCTCATTCAAGAACACTTAATTATGCTTGTGTGAAACCTATACCTAGGTTAAGATGCTGTTGTGCAAACAGAGCAAGGAACTACTGAATGGTTTAAAATTAGGAAAGCTGGATAGCAGTTAAAGTGCTAAAGAGCAAGGACATCCATTTAAAGACTAAGGTGAACCTCATCCAAGCCATGATATTTTTTCTAAACAGTGATAAAATAGACCTTTTATTTACTTTGTAGAGTCAAAAGGACATACAAAAATTATTGCAAAAGTAGATAACAGGCAAACAGAAAAGTGCTTCATAAGTCCAGTTACCTTGGAGTTTATTTAAAGTAAGAGGAAAAGGTCAGAATGTTTTCATGCCATACATAGTTGGATTTTTAAATAACAATTATGACAAACAGGAGAAAGAAATAAGGAATGCTGTATTTGTGATCCATACAAACCATCAACATTTGGAGTCATACATAATTAATGAAATAACTCAAACACTTTCAAAATACTGTAGTAGCCAATATATAAGAGGCATGCATGCCTGAGATGGGCATAGGAATGCCGTTAAGAAAGCAGGGGGGGGGGAAATTACACAGAAACTATTCAATGTCTTTAAAATCACTGAGCAAGCAAAGCAACATTGAACTTCACATACTGATTTTACACAATTTCTATGCCATATCTTGACTTAAATACAAAAGCAAAAGTTAAGACTCTTCTCCTCTATTTTTGGTAAACAATTGCATGGTACACTTGGATGACTTTCCCCCTGGATTTTACCTGGGAGCAGCCTTTTACATTTTTTTTTTTTTTATTTAGAAGAGGTCAGGTTCGGCACTTTTATACTGATGTCACCAATGTTAGTATTTCTTGGGATCTCAGAAAGATTCATATTCTTCACAGCTGCTACAGCACTGGATGGAGCTCCTGCCAAGCCAGCCTCAGATTTCTCCAGTTTATTTTGTGCATCAATTTGTGTAACGATCTCATTCATGTTGGTCTCTAATACTATTCCCCACCACCACCATTTCTGCAAGAATATTGTGAACCTTGTCTACATGGAAATGAAATCCAGTACACAGATATTTTCAAAACACTTATCTAACATTTCCACAAATACTTATATTAGCTCTAAAATGCCAAGTTCACTTTCTGAAGAATCCACACAGAAGACAAAATATAATGTTGTGTAATGTCTATAAATCAGTTTGTTGTCATATACTCCTATTAACAATCCTCCTTCTAGGAAATTACAAATACCTTCATCTCTCTTCGATACCAAATGGAATGTCTCCCTGATGATTTGTTGTTGTGTATCTTCACTGTAAGGCTGCTAGAACTTGGAGAACCGTGGCTTTCCATAGTTGTTGAAAATGAGCATCGCCTTGATCATGGCTGGGCCAGGCCGACCGGGTGGGTGCTGGGGGCCAGATCGGAGACAGGGGAGCAAGCCTCACCTAGAGATCTTGCCAATGATCCTTCCCCATCCGCCCTCTTCGGCACACGCGTGATCGCTCAAGCCATGGTATTTTCATTTACTTCCTATATACTTGAAAGTTGAATAGTGAGTATGGAATACCAAAATAGAATCAATGCCTTTAATTTGCGGTGTTGGGGAAGAGTGCTGAATATCTTATGGACTCCGAAGAAAATAATAAACAAGTCTGTCTCAGAAGCAATAAATAAA